TGTTCTTTGGCATTTCTGTGTGAAAGGTATTGAAGCCAAGCAGGCCTAAGTCAAGACCTGGGGATTTTTGTTCTCTTGCATCTGTGTCTAAGTGTGAATGGGGATTCCAGCTATCATTCCCTCACTGTTCTGGGCCAGTTAATAGCCAAAGAACAGCTAAGGTTGGTGCTTTCATCCACACTGTTTGAACTTCTGTGTTGAACTTGTGCAACTGTGGTAGAATGAAAACAGAAACCCATTGTGCAAGATCAGGAACTGGGGCAAGGGAAGCAGGAGCAGAACTCAGTGATGGAGGACAGCAGGAGCAAGACCACTGGCTAGATAGAGGACAGAATGAGAAGTAGAGGCTAGAACAGAAGTTGAGCAGAAGTTGAACAGTAGTCCTGGAAGATATTCTTGCTGGTGCAAGAGACTAGTCAGGGCCTAGGAACAGTCTGCTAAGTCCATTAGTCTTTACTTGTCTGGAACAACTTGCAGATGTAAGGCTGAGAGTCTAGGCAAAATCCCAGGCTTGTTTATGACCAGCTGTAGATCAGAAAGATGACAGCTCTTCCCTAGACTCTAAGGAAGTGGGCTGTATTAATTTGCAAGGACGAAATATGAGGTAAAGGTCATAAATATCTACTTAGTATAGTTGACAAGCTTAGGCCAGATCAATATACAACTGCCTCAGCAGGGAATCAGTTGAATTAAAGTTTGTCTTTCAGAGTGGTCTGACATGTGTTTGTATTCCTGGGGAGTTTGGCGTTAAAACCAAACTCAGCTAGAGGGAAGACCAGCTGTACTTAGGTTACTCTTCCCCTGTTCCTCTCTTTTTGCTTCACTTTTAATTGACAGGAGAAGTTTACCAATTAGTAGTGACAGCAGAACTGTGAAAAACTCTCTTTTCATGATCAAAGGTTTGATGAACTGTAACAAGAAGAATCCACATGATCCAATCACTTGTGTGGAAACTGTTGGTGTTATATTCTGACAGGTTTCTTTAGGAGAGAAGCTTGAACTTAAATCCTCCCTTAAGGGAGATTCCTTTAAGGATACTCTTCCTTTACTACCAGTTCCCTAGCTTTCTTAAGGTTGGAAGTTGCAGATATTGTGCACAAAATTGTACACATTGCTAAGCTTAAACATAGGGCAATTTATAAACTCTCAGTCCAAATCAACCAAATCTGTGAATCTCAATGTAAACATACTTTTGGAGATGTTTTTGGTACTTAAAGAAAAGTCAGACATTATAAGTCACTTGTCTGTAAACATGAGAGAGGTTGTTTTATTTGGTTTTTATTTAATGCATTTGTCCATAGCTTTTATTTTGAACTGCTGGGGGGGAGGAAAAAAGAAAGTCAAAGAAAATGGTTCAGTTTTGAAAGGATAATTGAGGGAGAGGTTGGGGAATACTTGCTAATAGCAGGCCATCAGAAGGTCAGTGAGCTTGATGAATTGAATACTCTTGTATTGGAACAAACCATAGAACTTGTACGTAACCTGGTAGGAGCCTTCCTCCATTTGTCCTTTTAAATGGGAGCTGTGTCTTTGGAGTCATGCCAGAGTGGAACTGCTCATTCATTATTACCACTTTAAGTAAGTTATCATAGCTCTGTGGCACATAAAATAATGAATGTAGCACCCATTTCACAAATACAAGGCATATATTATGCTTTCACATATGGTCAAATGTGTGCAGGCTTTTGGAAAAGGCACAAAAATTAGTACAGTGAGTAAGCTCAAAAAGAAATAATTCAGCAAATAGGAAATTTTATAACTGGAACCATAATTAGTGACTAATGCAGAGCAATACATATGCTTTATTAAACAGGGTAGGATTAAAAGACAAAACTAAATTTATTCAAAACATAGCATACATGCTCATGTGAGTAATTTAAAACATATTCCTAATTCTCTTACTTTCATCTTTTCACTCCAATGAAAACTGAGTGTTTAAACAGCATCTTTCATTTGAATGAAAGCAGACTTCCCTAACTAGTAAGATCTCTACCTCATGGTACTCCTAATATGCATTCTGAAAGTGTTCTGCACCAGGGGAAGGAGGAGGAAGCATGAGAGAGGTGATGCAGGCCTAGCAACAAATGGCATAATAAACTATCTGTTGTAAGAAGATGGAATAGAAGGAGGAATACAGATAGCAGGTAAATATTATGCCTCGAGTTGCTGGGAGCCCTGTGTATGCAGCACCAGAGGGACCCAGCATGGATTGTCCACTGGTGTGCTGCATATATCCCATCTGTGGAGAGGAGCCTCCCTCCTCCCATTACATGGTGCTGTTGTTATGTGTAAAGCCAAAATCATGTATCTCTTCCTCACAAGCTGGAAGGTTCTCTTTGATAACACCCACCAGCACAGGCTGGCATGGGGCCTTCCAGCACCTATTGGAACAGCAGGTACTCATGCTCACAGATGGGCTTCTTGAACCTGGTGAGCAAAGACCAGACATGCCTTGCCCAAGATCACTAGCTCCTTGAGCTCAATGTCTTCTGTGAAGCTCCCAGTACAGAAAGTAATAATATATATGGTAATATATCAAAATACTTTGCTGTGGTATAATTCACTGTTCTTTTTTATTATGCATATTTTATAATTTCTTCATGCATTATGCTGAAACAACTGAAATGACTGGCTATAAAACTGTATTGCCATTTTCTCTTCAAGATTATTGAAGGTCACTTCTATAATTGTCAGGGTATTAGTAATTATTTGGATTTGAATGAATACTTACGAATACTGGTGTATTGCAAAATATGATGTACCTAGTAATTTTTGTATTAACCATTCCTTTGTGTGTTCTGGTGAGTAGTGAAGCCTGTGATGCATTAGATGCATTTTATAGATATTTTGTGTATTCCTGTGGGGTTTTTTGGAAGTATAAGTAGAAATATAAATACCAGAAAAGGATATGTGATGCTGGAAATCCCTGAGTTCTGGTAGTTATTGATCCACAGGAGGTGGTTTCATCTGATTAGAAGCATAGCTGAGTGGAGATGGGATGCTGTATGGAAAGAGCTTTCTTTTTCATAAAGGTTTTCAAGATTTATAAGAGAAAAAAAAGACCTGTTTTGTGTCAGGAGCAAACTAAGCTTCTTTTAGTCTGGGTCAGATCACCACAGGTTTGTGCTGTGGTAGGCAAGAGTTCACAGCAGAATTTGTTTAGTCTTCCCTGATGGAAAAGTTGTACAGCTTATTGTTAGTGTTGGTTGGACATTGCTCTTCCATGTCGTACATAAATCAGTGCTGCTATCAGTGAGCAGCAGGGTAAGTTTCTTGCCTTCTGAGAAAGATCCTTGTCTTGTCCCAGAAAAGGCTCTGAATACACAATTATTTATACAACATTCATTTTTGTGTTCCTGTTTAAAACCCCAGCATATTCTGAATATTGCCTGCATTTAATATTCTACTTTGCCTTTGAAACAGTTCAGAATAAAAAAATACTCCTTTTACAATAATCTCTATCATGTTATTATAATTTGTTCAATAATATACTGTCTCATTTATGTGACAATCTTACATACATGAAGAAGTTATTTTAATCTCTTCATTCAAAAAATCCTGTTACCTTAGCTTGCACTTTCAAAACTGCCAAACTAATGACAGTCTGACACATGACTCTATTGTATGAGCCTAATCTGTTGAAGCAGAGAGCTTTTCTTTGAAGAATGTTGTTAATGTTTTGTGATGGTGAGAAAAAAGTATATCAGGCAGGTCTATATTATTACTTGTATAAGTTCATGCAACAGAGATACTTCAGCATCAGTTCCTCTTCTGAATTCTGTGGAAAGGACTTTAGGGCCAGAGTCTCTGTGTGGACAAGAGCACAAATTGTGAGCTACAGTTAAGAGTTGAAGTATATGAGGGTTTTTTGATGTCTTGGGATTTAGGCAAAAGTTGTTCTGCTGGAGAGGGTGCAGAGAAGGGCAACTAGGCTGATGAGGGGTCTGGAGGACAGGTCTTATGAAGAGAGGCTGAGGGATCTGGGGCTGTTCAGCATGGAGGAGGCTGAGGGGAGACCTCCTTGCTCTCTACAGCTACCTGAGAGGAGGTTGTAGTGAGGTGGGTATCGGCCTCTTCTCCCTAGTGACTAGTGATAGGACAAGAGGATATGGGGTCAAGTTGTGCCAGGGGAGGTTCAGATTGGATCTTAGGAAAAGTTTCTTGACAGGAAGAGTGGTGAGGTATTGGAACAGGCTGCCCATGGAGGTGGTGGAGGCACTGTCCCTGGAGGTGTTGAAAAAACAGGTAGACATGGTGCTTTGGGGGATGTTTTATTTGTCATAGGGGTGTAGGGCTTATGATGGGATTTGATGATCTTGAAGGTCTTTTCCAACCTTGATAAATCTATAATTCTATGATTCTATGAAAATGTAATCATTATTTTATGCCATAGGGGTATTTTTTTGTTTGTTACTGTTGTTTTTTCATTTGAAGACTTGAAACCAATGTGAAAGTTGTACAGCAGCCCACCAGTGTATTGTTTGTGTGGTTGGAAATGGCAAGCGTATGTTCCATCCATGGTCTGGGTTGGAAGGGACCTTAAAATCATCTAGTTCTAACTCTCCTACCATGGATAGGGACACCTTTCAACTAGACCAGGTTGTATATTAGAGGAAAACATATTTAGGAATATATTCTGTACTGAATGTTCCTTCTGATTGGTTCTCACAGAGGGCCAGTGGAAGGATCAAAACAAGCCAAGGGAGTAAGCTATCAATGAGGTGCACTTACCTCACCACAGAAAGTCCTACAATGGGAAGTATGACTGAAGTGCCTTATTCAAGACCCTAGTCTTGGTTTCTTTTATAAGAGGACTGATGTGCCTCCAGAAAGTAGCACACCCTAATTAAGACCTATGTAAAACACTTTTTATTTTAATATATTTGTGCTACTAATAATGAAACTCATGCTATTTGGAATAACTATTCTAGCTCCATTTTTATTAAAACTATGTTGTGTTTAACAGGTGTTTGCTTTTTTCTTTTTTTTTCCTTCTGCAGCTGTGACTCTGAAAATAGGTATCTTGGAAATCCTCTGAGGGGAACATGTTACTGTGAGTACTTATATTTTTTAATGCTCAGTTCTTAAATGTTTAGATATTATGTGATACTTTCATTTTCTCAGAAAATCAAAATATTATTCTTAAGATTATTTTTTTTTTTAAGTTGGGCTTGTTGATATTTTGACTGAAAAACAAAATGCCCCACTGGGCTTCTCTGTTACTTTGTCCTCAAGAATGCAAATTAAAGTCTACTAAAAGTCAGTTCCTTACACCTAGTTTAGAGGGACTGACCAAGCCATTGGGTTATTCTCTGTGTCTCAACATATGTGAACTAAAGGAATAAGTAATTGTGTGATTGTTTAAGGGATATAATTTGTGGTGGGTAAAAACAATCTGGCTGAACAGCCATGATTCCTGGGGACATTCTGAGAGGTTTAGCCAGTCTGCCTCCCAGGGGCACAACACACAGCTGCTCTCCAGAGTATTTTAAAATGATACTGTGTGTTGTCTCTGTGTTCTTACCATTGTAGAAAAGGTGCCTCTGGCAAATTTGCTGTAAAGCATTACACTTCTGATAGTCATAGTGAAATATGTTGTCACGATCCGTGACCTATTATATCTCTTTATTGGAGTGTATTAACTTATCAGGATTTGCTGAGAGATCCACACGTGGGTATCGCCTCACACAGAGGATACAGGAACTTATGTCCCGACTTTTTTGAGTGAATAACCTCCTCAGTGCTTACTAATATTTCTAACAACAGCAAGGTTTATTGTGGGGAAAACAAAGCAATTTGGGGCAGGAGGTTCAAAAGGAGTGATTACAACACATTAAACATATATGGGTACACCTTAGTTGCACAAGACAAAATTATATTTTCCCCTATAAGCTGGGGTAGCCGGAATTGTCTCACCACGGCAGTGCAGGTAGGATGAGCTGGGTAGCAAAGAGGCTGCGGGCACTCCAAGCGCAGGTCACCCCCCCCCAGAGAGAAGCGGCTCCAGGACTTTGGGACTGGGGCTTTGGCAGCTGCAGCTGCGGCGAATGGCTCCGGGACTCCGGGACTGCGGCTTTAGCAGCGGCGGCGGCGCGGCTCTGCGGCGGGTGGGTAGGCAGGCAGGCAGCGGAGCGGCTCTGCGGCGAGCAGCTCCCAGCAGCGGGGGCGGGCGGCAGCGCACAGCAGGAAAAAGGGGGGGGGGCGGCAGCTGCTCCCCCCCACACACACACAGAGGGGGTTTCCTGCCGCGTGGAGACACCGTTTTAAGTCAGTTTTGTCGGCTGACTCAAAGGACATTTCATGTTCGTGTAAGGAAATACCTGGTCCTTCACATATGTGAAGGGATGAGAATGCTTATTAGCCATGTGCAGAAATCCCTTAGTGAGCTATGCCAATTTTGCTGTGCCGATATCGATGTTAAGTAGTAATTTAAATCATCATAAAAATATATGGGATGTTGGAGAGCACTATTTTACCTCCTGTGACTTTTGCTCATACCAGCTCTATGTCAGACAATTGGATTCATTTCGCTATTGTTTCCTAACACCATCCATACCTCAAACTTAAATGTACATAAAGGCATCTCTGAGTATATTTACAGCATCCATTCTGGTCTTTGGCCTTTTTTTTTTAACCATTTCACTTTAGAATGTACAGAACAACTTTGTTTTAGAATATGTTTAACACATCATTTAGATAATAAATAAATGTTTACTTTGTTCACTAATGTTTTTCTTCTACCTGAAATGGTTTGCATCTGCAAGATATGTTTTACAGAACAGAATAAACACATAGTGTATTACAGATGCTGATATATCCGTAGGCCTAAAATATTTATTCTACTTGCCAGGTGTAACAGAAACTTGGTGTGGGTTGATTTGGGGTTTTTTTGTGTGGGTTTTTTTTTGTGTTGTTTGTTTTTTTTGTTCAATTTGAAATGTAATACTTCAAACTGGAAGATAATTTTAAAATATTGTTGACATTGACAGTTTACGTAAAATAGACAAGTTGAATATATCTTTTTAAAACTGTGTTCTAAAGATACTGTTGATCAAAAAAATTCCACTTGCTGCATAAGAAATTTTTCTTATGTCAAAACAGGAATTTCAGTATTTATAAGAATGAGTCTTTGTATCTATCGATTTTGTAAATTTCATAGATTTAAGGCTAGATAATGAGCCCATCAGAAGTTCATACTATGAAGCGAGCGCTTTATAGGCAATTTTGGATGTGTGTATCAACAATTGTTTTGTCCTTTAAAAATCACCATTATTAAATTTAAGAGATGGAAAAGAACTGACAGTAATGAGATTTGTAGACCTCAGGCACCTTCATGAAAAACCTTATTTTTTTGCTATCATTTTGCAGGTATGGTCTATAAATCATGTTGGATGATGCACTATATTCAAGATAACCTTTCACCTTTAACTCTCTACTATTATTTGTCTTCTGTCAGATTTCAAAATATTTTAAAGATATTGTCTTTCTGGAATCATAAATCGTCTTTTAATACATTCAGTCGTTTATTGTATATAAATGATTTTTGGAGTTACTTTATCTGAAGGTAATGAGAGCCTTTTCTAACAGAAAATAATGGAATTCTATATTTTAAAATATTTTTTGGCTGATGCATAGTAATGGGAAATAATTTGTTAATTTGTGGGTAACTGACCTAAGATTTCAATGACAATTGCTTATCAGCACCATCCATTACCTGCTAAATTATGTATTAAAATTATGTGATAGAGATGCTCCAGTTTCTTATATATATAAGTATATATATTTAAAAATAAGGGCTTACCATGAAATGTAATTTATGTAAGAAAATGTTTTGCTTTTGTACAAGACAGACAATTGGATGGCTTTTTTAAGAGCTTATTTCACTACTCTCCAGTAAAGTTGCTGCTTTACTTCTCCTTCACGTGAAGAATATTCTTCAATTTTTCCAGTACAAGAATAATTATTGCTCAGGAGGGAGCATGTCACAGTTTGACTCAGGTCCGACAACAATGCTCTTGATCCCCTCCCCCTCCCACCCAGGTAGGGAAGGAGAGAGAGAAAAAGAGAGAGACTTGGCCGGATTGAAAACTAAACTACACAGCTTTAATTAAAACACTAATGAATGATACAAGAAAATATCTACAATTATATACAGATATACTCAGGTGTGGGCAAAAGCCTCTCGCCTCCCCCCACCCCAGCAACTCCCACAGCACTTCCCTGAACTGGGAAGAGTCCTGAGGAATCCCGGAGCTGCTGCTGGAAGAGAGCAGAGAGTTATGGGGGTCAGGAGATCTCGAGCCTAAGGGTCGATGGTGATGGATGAACAGAGTCCTCCCCGGACGCCGGCCATGGACGGAAGAGAAGGGGAGAAGAAGAAGAAGGAAGGAAGTTGTCTTCTGTGATCTCTGACCTTCCTCTGAGCTTACGTAGATATATGGAATGGAATATCTTTGGCCAATTTTGCTGTCTGTCTAACTCAGCCTCCTACGGGGGGGGTCACAGATCTCCCCATAGTGTCTGAGCCGGCAGAGTGCAGGTGCGGCCTTGAAGCCTCAGTAGTTAGAAAAACATTCCACCGTCTTATCAGTCTAGCAGAACACACTGTTGCTAGTTACAAGAAAGCTTACTAAAGGAAAAAAAAATCAGTAAAAAGAAAAATTGGCTTCATCCTGGCTCAAACCAGGACAGAGCAAAATACTGAGGAAACACAAACTGCATGTAGTTATGAGCAGCATAAGTTTATGAGAAGTAAAAATTCTAGGCACATTTGTTTCTACCACTTGGAATCAAAATCAGTGAACCGTACAAAAATACAACTAATAATTTGCTCTATGGTTGGGATCTTCAGGAAGCTTTTAGTCACATGCTGGAGCTTAGCCATCTTCAAAATTACCAGCTTTAGGTGTTCAAACTTTATCTTTCTTTCACTTTTGTAAACACTGCCCTAAATTGGAATGCTTTCTAAGCCTAAACCTTAGACTTCAGTCCTGAGTGTATGGCTACCTTTTGTATGATACTGGGTGACCTCAATTTCTCTTTAACAGCAGGATGTGAATTGAAAATCCTTGTGGCCTTAGAGGAACTTTCTGATATGGTGAATACCCACTGCCCTCTAGAAGTTTGGCTGTTTCTGTCTCTTGCTCTCTGCCTAGCTTACCTAGTTCTTGTCTAGTCCTCTCTCCCTCTTCCTTGTCCTTGCCATCCTCAAGCCTAGGCAGGGGGAACAGACTGTTGCTGTTGTAGGCACTGGTATTAGCATCAATAAACTGTTGAAGATAGCAAGTAAACTCTAAAATTAATAGAGTTAGCCAGTGAGATAGCACAGCTTGTTTTAGTTTATTCCTTATTTGTTTCCTTTAGTAGTGATGCAGTAGAGGAGGCAGAATATTCATGCTGTACTACTACCAGCTATTCATGCTGGATCTTATTGTGATTGGAGACGTGATCTGTGCACAGATGAAAACACAGGAGAATTACAAATAGGTCTAGCATGATAAAACAGAATGAGATTTATATAGGAACTAACATACTGAAACATTGCAGAGACTTAATCTAAATACAGATACTATGCCAAAAGGATAAGCACAGATAGCAGCAAAGCCATCAAAGCCTAGAGATAACGGGAACAGTTCATTAAACATCAGATTTCATTCTAATATTGTGTTTCAGAACATGGCAGCACTGGACATGAGTAGTTTTTCTACTTTAAATTATCAAAACTTAAAAAAAGTAGAGTACAAAAGGCATAATAGAGAGGGTATGCAATAGGATACTATCTAGATTGTGTGAAAATTGTTGCCCCTTGCTTTTATAAAATTATTTTCATTTCATTCTTCATTACTTCACTGTATGATTGAAAAAGCTCAACGGAGAGAACAAATTTCTCTGAGAGTAAGAGAATGAGAACGAGTCTCACAAACATACAAATTAGGAAAATATTGAATGTATAAGAATGCATGAGCAGCTGCACAATGATTTGTCTATCCTAGTACCCTGTTGTCAGTAGTTGCTGAATATGAATGCCAGGGGAAGAGTATAGCAAAAACATAC